GTTGAGCTCTGAAAACTAAAGGATTTACTTTTTCTCATGAAAAACATTGGGGAATATTTTTAACTGTAGCAGATCAATTTAAAACTGTTGTGAAATTGGACTGTAATTCATCCATTTGTCTGTTTTTAGATCTTAGCTGTGTCTCGGTGTGAGAGATGTTGGTCAGCTCTGATCATAAATTGGGATTTAATTTAATTTAAAATTAAAATAAAAATTTCAACAGTATTTACAAAGCTGCTCAGTGTCTAAATGATTATTGTTGCACATGACCGGGTTATCGCACATATGGAAGAATGGAATAGATAAATAAGTAATGAAATGACTGTCAGGCACAATAAAAGGCCCTCTGTTTCTGATCCAAACACCTCAGAGCTGCCACCGGGAAAGTGTGTGTGCATGGCTCTGGGACCGGGGTCAGGGGGTCTTCCTGGTCCCCCCTTCAGGTGTGCTGCTGGTCCTCCTCTGGTTGTTGTTCGGTTTGTAGCTTCTTTGTTGGATTCAGTTTCTGTTTAAGATTTTGAGACAGGCTTTTTACTATTCACAATAAATATGAGGATTTGTTCTTTCCCTCGTCCTGGTGTTCCCCTTCAGGACGCATCAACAGAAAACTCCAATGAGCTGCTCAGACATGTTGTCTGGTTCATCGGTACAGGTACTGAGTCAGGAAAACTCCCTCACCTGGAAATCACCACAAACTCCTGTGCAGTTTTTCCCGCCTACAAAGTCCTTTATAACGTCCGCGTTAAGATTCTTTTAGTCCATTTTAAGCAGCTTTTTCTACTGGTGCAGATTTTTGCAGGTTCTCATAAGCATTTGAACACTTCCTGTTAGTGTTAATGAATCTGTGGTTTTGCTGTCTGAAGTCAGTCTGAATTCATCTTTAATGTTTCACGAAGAAGCAATAAGATGAGACATCAAACCTCACTTTCATTAAGTTGTTTTAAGAGGCTTTTTTTTCTAATTTGTGACTTCTGGTGGGTCCCAACCGGCTCAGACTTGTTTCAAAACAGCAGCCTCAGATCTGAACCGCAGTGACTCATCGCGCTCAGACGTTTAACGGCAGTCTTCTTTGGTATCGAACCCTTTTACCCACAGACGTCTCCATCGTTTTGCTCCTTCGCTCTCTAATATTATCAGAATTCCTCTATAGCCAATAATGATGACCCCACTTCCTGTTGTTGACTTCAATAAAAACACATTTTGGTTGTTGTTATGGGCCTCTCGCAGAGTTTTAGGGGTTTCCCTGTTTTGCCTCCGCCCTGCAGCCTCTTTTTGATTGGATAACGAGGGATTTTCCCACCAGGGCAAAAGGTGCGGAAGCTCAAAGCAGAGAGTCAGATCGAGCTGCAGAGTCTCGGGACATCGGGGATAAGAATGAATGAAAGGATGGACCACCATTTCAAGAAAGCTTTGGAAGTTTCAGGCGCGTGGACAAAGTGAGTAAAGCAGAGCATGTTAAAAGCTTAAAACCGTCTGACTTAGATGATAATTTCAGACTGAAATGTGTAAATATTTTACCAGAAATTCAATTTTAGAATGAGGACCAACATAGTGAATTGGACTGAATTAAAAATTAATAACAATCTTTGGTTATATATTTTCCTGTTTCAAATGGTTTTGGATCATTTATATGTAGTTCAGGGTTGAAATTGCAATACAAATTGTGCCTACAAATAGTTTTCTTATGATAAAATTACTGTTTTATATTTGGAAATGAGCATCCTGGATATTAAAGATACAATTATAAGCAAAAAATCCAAATTTCAATGTCAAATATCAACAACATTAATCCCTGTAATTACAGCCTTTTCTTATTAAAATTTGAACATGTATTAAAGGCTCTGTCAGGTTTGTAAATAATTAGTTTGAGGGTTTGAAGTGGCTTCAGATTGTGTAGCTTGTTTAAGTTCATACATGCCAGCAAACCTCGATCCTTTGATAAATGTAGACATACCGAGGATGGATTAAGACGTCTGAGCCATGTGCTCGATGCCTGTTGGTCCACATGTTCACATCTATCACTGTGACTTTGTCTCAGCAGCTGTTTGTCCATCACAGCAGAGGAGAAGATAAAAAAAAGGTATTTCAAAGACACACATTTTCTTTTGAAAATCGTAGATTATTTATGTGGAATTTCCAATTTAAAAAAAGAAACACTAAACATCAGACACTGAGGAGGACTAGTTTAGGTGTACAACCACAGAGGTGGAGCATTTTATAAAGCTGCTAATAGATCAGACCACATGGAAATAAGTCAAACAAATCTATAGTCCTGGCACTTTTCCATGAGCACCGACTCAGCAAAACCTTTAGTGTTCTCCATCAGGCCGGTTCCAGCTACATTTCAGCTCCGACTCGGTCGGGTTCAAAGCAAACATGAAATGTGGCGTCTGCAGGCTGCAGGGTTCCGATTGGCCGGGCAGTTGTTAGCCTGATTCTTTAGTTGGAAACCTGAGAATAAAACAGAGTAGATCAAAAGTACAAAAATAAATACACACTCCGTGTGTAATGGATATTTGTCTTCTGGGCTGGGCGGGCTTCAAAAGGAGGACTGGAAACAACCGAGTGCTTATTGGCCAGTTACTTCTACCATGAACAGGCCAGGTCTTAATTCATGCAGATGACACTGGAATGTGGTAACAAAGCGTGTGTTGACCTGAAGATGTGGATCTAATGCAAAAGAGAGAGAGAGAGAAAAGAAATTATGTGGTCACAGCCAGAGGAATTAACACAAAAGTATACTTCTAAAAGGAACAAGACAATGAGCAAATCAGCAGATTATGTTATAGCATACAATGCTAAAGTGGGTAATTATAGCCAAATTCTGAAACAGTTAAGTCACAGGATGAGTCACAAAGCCTTCAGGAGAAACTCCATTTGTAAACGCCTGAGAGCAAAGAGTTTGTGACTGAGTCATTTCTGCAATTATTAACGGCTGTGCTCAGACCAACAGAAGCAGGTGCAGCATCACCTCTATGTGCTCCTTTATGGGCCGTGTTTGCGGCGCATACTGATGACATCACCAGTCCTGTAGAGCTGAGTGGTCTGAAGCTGAGCTTTGTCAATTGTAGATAGGGTCAAATTCATCTTACAAAGGACGACTGCCACAAACCGCTTTATTTCCTGTCTTCTTTTGCCCACAGATTGATTTCAAATTCAAAACGTGCAGAGAAAAAAGAGAAGACTCGGAAAAAACTTGCTACTATCCAACAGTTGTGCAGCCGTTACCTGACTCCCGCACCACAGAACAAGATTGGACCACAAAAACAGACTGGACCACAGAAACATACTGGACCACAAAACCAAACTAGACTACTGAAGCGGACAGAGAGATCTGAGATGGTTGACGTGAATAATTGCCGTTTAACAGTTTTTAAAAAGCTTCACGACAAGCTGTACGACTACCAGCGAGAGGGGGTCTCCTTCCTGTACGGCCTCCACAGAGATGGGCACAAAGGGGGGATTCTGGCAGATGACATGGGGCTCGGGAAGACCATCCAGATCATATCGTTCCTCTCTGGCATGTATGACAACGAGCTGATAAAACACACTCTGCTCGTCATGCCAACGTCGCTCATCCCAAACTGGACCAGGGAGCTCGCCAAATGGACTCCTGGCATTAGGGTCACAACATTTCACGGCATCAGTAAGGTGGAGAGGAGCAGGAGTTTGGAGAAAGTTCGGAGGAGGAGAGGTGTGGTTATCACCACATACACCATGCTGGTATACAACTGGCAGCAGCTGTCCTCCTACCGAGGACAGGAGTTCTGCTGGGACTATGTGATCCTGGACGAGGCTCACAAGATAAAAAACACATCCACCAAAACAGCCAAGAGTGCCTATGCCATCCCGTCCAGGAACCGGATCCTCCTGACAGGAACTCCGGTCCAGAACAACCTGAGGGAAATGTGGACTCTCTTTGATTTTGCTTGCCAAGGTGCTCTCTTGGGGACGGCGAAGACTTTCAAAACAGAGTATGAGAACCCCATCACTCGAGCCAGGGAGAAGGACGCCACCCCAGGAGAAAAGGCTCTGGGTTCACGGATGTCCGAAAACCTCATGGCCCTAATAAAACCCTACTTCCTGCGTAGGACAAAGTCTGAAGTCCAGAAAAAGAAGACGATGGTCAAAGAAGAACCCTCAGGTAAAAAGGACAAAACAGACTCTGGAGCAGTTATGCCCAAACTGACCCGAAAGAACGACCTGATTGTCTGGACCTACCTGAGCGCCGTCCAGGAGGACATTTACAGGCAGTTCATTGACTTGGACCACATTAAGGAGCTGCTCATGACCTCCAGGTCCCCTCTGGCTGAGTTGAACATCCTGAAAAAGTTGTGCGACCACCCGCGACTCCTTTCTGCCGGGGCAATAGCTAAGCTGGGGCTTGAGGAAGACGGCCCGCAGGGCGATGGTAGCGACGCCAACGCCAACGGCATCGCCAACATCCCAGACGATACCCTGATATCAGAGTCTGGGAAGCTGGTCTTTCTGCTGGCTCTGCTGGAGAAGCTCAGAGAAGAAGGCCACCGCACGCTGGTGTTTGCGCATTACAGGAAGGTCCTGGACATCATTGAACGCATCCTTGGCAACAGGGGCTTCAAAGTGCTGAGGCTGGATGGCACAATAACACAGCTGGCAGAGAGGGAGCGGCTCATCTCCCGCTTTCAGGAGGACCGGCGCTACTCCGTCTTCCTCCTCACCACTCAGGTGGGTGGAGTCGGCATCACCTTGACGGCGGCTGACCGAGTGGTCATCTACGACCCCAGCTGGAACCCGGCCACCGACGCCCAGGCCGTGGACCGCGCCTACCGCATCGGCCAGACCCAGAACGTCGTCATCTACCGGCTGATCACCTGCGGCACTGTGGAGGAAAAGATCTACAGGCGGCAGGTCTTCAAAGACTCCCTCATCAGGCAGAACACCGGCGACAAGAAGAACCCGTTCCGCTACTTCAGCCGGCAGGAGCTGAAGGAGCTCTTCACTCTGGAGGAGCCCAGGTCCTCGTCCACGCAGCTGCAGCTGCAAGCTCTGCACTCCAGACACCGGCGGACCGACCCGGCCCTGGAGCAGCACATCGCCCAGCTGCACGCCATGCACATGTTTGGCATTTCAGACCACGACCTCCTGTTCTCCCTCGACATCCACCACGACGAGGCCCCCGAGAACCCGGAGGAGCACAACTACATCGAAGGGCGGGTCCAGAAGGCTCAGGAGCTGGTGAGGGCCGAGTGCCAGCTGCAGGTGGGCAACCATTAAATACTCCAAATGTTATACTTTTGTGTTACTATACTGTTGAAATAAGAAGTGGAGATGCAAAAAACTTGTTTTTGGTTTTGAATCTGGAGGATTGTGCCATCCTTAAACTTACAACACAATCAGATAATCAGATTCCTTCCTCCTCCAAGAAACCCCTTGAAGACCAGAGTATCTCTGGTCCTAAAGCTCTAAATGCTATTATTTCCTGATAGGATGTAGCATTAATGGATGGTACCTGTGTAATCTCTGTTTTAGCTGAATGTTAAACCCTTAATGTTACATCCTCTTCCAGCATAATATTTTCTAGTTAAGTGTGGAACTGGTGATGTAGCTGAATGTCTGCTAAATGCAGAAGTGTAGATGTACAACAAGGCTCACGAGACCCCAGTTATTGAGGATAAAGAACTCTGTCAGTCATCACAGAGATAATAAGGCTGCGATATACCAAACCACAGCCTGACCTGCCAGTCAAGAAGAAAGTGAATCATCCCCAAACGCTTCACTTTCAGTCTGATGCTGAATAGCTACTCTGCCCCCTCAAGGATCTGCTAGAGTTCCTTAAATTGTATGCTTGTTAAAACTGCCACACATCTGCTGGAGGTAACTCTTTTATTTTGGGACGAATCCTGTTTCCTGTCTCAATCTTGTGATAAGGTGATGAATTTTGAGCTGCACCGTAGAGTAAGTGGTTTCATTTGGTGTGATATATAAGTTTGATTCTCTGTGTTTGCAGTGGATACAAATATTTTGAGCCTTTGATGTGAGAACATACAGGAAGCAATAATTACCCGCATCTGTACTTTAGCTTGACATCCTGTTCTTGTTTTGTTGCAGATGCAGCTGGCAGTAAGCATCAGGCCGAGCTCAGAACCAGCCTGCCGGAGACAACCAACTGGAACCAACAGAAGAGCAACACTGAATAAGAAAAGGCCAAGTTATCCCAAACCAAGTCCATCACCAACACAGAACAAAAACTTCACAATTCTAAATTTCAATCAATTTGTTTCTGAGAAAACAGACAACAAAAAAGATGCAATGGACCAGTCCGGTTCTGATAAAGAAGACAACAAAGATAAGGTATTGGATCAGTCCGGTTCTGATGAAGAACAGAATCAGGTGACGGTGTTGGACCAGTCTGGTTCTGATGAAGAAGATAATCAGGGGACGTTGTCAGACCAGACTGGTTCTGATGAAGAATTAGAGATCCAGGAGAAAGTATTGGACCAGTCTGGTTCAAATAAAGAAAAGAACCAGGAAACGGTGTCGGACCAGTCTGGTTCTGAAGAAGAAGATAGTCAAAAGAGAGTGTTGGACGAGTCTGGTTCTGATGAAGAACATAATCAGGGGACTGTGTCAGACCAG